TTCAATTCAATTCGGCACATGTAAAATGCGGCGTTTAAATCAACTGTCGAAGTTCAGTCGCATATTCGACTGGATCAGTCGAATATTCGACTGACTCGCATCGAATTGAAATATGTCGCATTTAATTGATTTAGACGTCGCATTTTACATGCACTTAATTCGGCAATTCGATTCGGCGCATGTAAAATGCGACGTTTAAACCGGGCCTTTAAAAGCAAATGTAAAATCATTATATACCGTAAAATTCTACGTTTACAATGGAAGCAGTCATTTTGCTTAAACAATAAGTACATCAATGGGAAGGATAACTGCTTAAGTTTAACATATCAACATTAACAAAACCTTCAGCTTTTAATCGATTCTTCCGTATTGTTTCTATCTTCTATTTTGCAGAAATTTCACTGTGCATAACATTATTCAACTGAACCTGTTAAGATATGCCATTGTAATATATAGGTTTCCATGCAGTGTACACAATTCACAATTTTCTATTTCCAATTCTGAAATATTTACTATCATAAATGCATCCCAGGTACGCTTCCTAAAGCGTCGCGTTCTTAAAATAGTCTCATGACGGAGTTTGAGAAGAAATTTAGAACACTCTAATTCAACATAATAAAATACTACAACATTAAGTATAAAGCTATAAAAAATTAAAGCACGCGTTTCGAAGAAAGTTGCGTCTTTAACTCTTTCATGAAACAATCTAACGGCTCACGTAATCATATATTCTGCGTAAAGCTAAGGAGTTCCAAGGAGTTGGCGCTGATACCGAAAAAATCTATAACCGTAACAACATAGATCATAGACTAAGAGTAAAATTATGAATTTCTGATCCATTGAGAAACTAAGATGACGCTTAGCTACATAAATAACTAAAAGATGGCGGTGGAATTTTATGGTGGTTTTCGAAGGGGCAAAGTCTAAATGTGCGTGAAATCTGAAACAGTATGCAAAGCAGAAAGTTGAATCTTATCCTGGTTCTCTCTCCCACTATATGCGTGCAGTCACATCAAGAAGCATGACGATAGGACTTCACGGAAAAGAATTCCATATGCGCGCACATCATTACCGTTTGGAGACAGCCAGTAATCAGCTCCTACTCCAGTTTCCGAAGCACTGATGATTTTAAGGTGACCATTACGATCAGGGTTAACTCGATTCTGGAAAGCAATTTTGTACCGTTTCCCGTTGTAAAGGAATTCCTGCGCATACAACCTTTCAACCATTTCAATGCTTGGACTTGTATAGATGCCAACACCAAACTTAGCTCTTGGCCCAGGTTTGAAGCCCTCCTCCACGATCTTCTCTGCGCTTTTGATATCCGTTCCGTGATAAGACACAGGCCATTCTCCGCTTGCTTCTTCCGTCCGGTCGCCATCAGGGCCAAGCCACACGTCGTTTTCGTACCTTCCAAGAGCCTTGACCGCAAATCGCTTCCAACCGTACGGTCGCTTGTACTCGAACCCTCCTCTCTTGTACTGTTGACCATTATCTCTCCCATAAGTGAAGTCGCAATCGAACTCAGGATCAAGCTCATCTGTGCTAACTCTGAGCGGACCTCCACCCCCCTTAAGGCGAAGCACCAAGTAGATGGTGCTTTCGGGCTGTAATCCGTAGTCTTTCACAGTTCGATCGTCATCAAGAAGCTTATTATCAAATAGTAGGTCAAACTGCCCCAGCGCTATCTGTACTTTTTCCTGAATTTGACGTTTCATTTGCAACACAGAATGCCCCTCTGTCACCTGTAAAGTGAGCGCCTCATCAAATCCAAAATCTGCGCCAGAACGGCGTAGACTTTTGCTGCCAAACAAGCCTCTCACAAAGATAGGAAAGGTCTCATGTACAGGTTCTGGGGAAGGCGGTCTGAATCCCGGCGGTTTCATCGTGTATGTTTGTTTAAAAGCATCATGGATTGATAAAGACGCCGCTCCACCTTCTTGTACTATCACTTCTTTGCCGAGGACTGCTGAGAGTCCTGCGCTTAAAAGCCCTAACTTGGACATTTTCACCGAGGAAGACAGTTTAGGTGTGATAACAATTTTCGCTTTTGGGAAACTACAGGGTGTAGGCACTACTTAATGTAGGCACCACTTACCATATTTGGTACTGAAGTTCCCGGACCATTACGTCAGTGCCTATATTTTGCTTGCGGTGAGTTTCACTGCATTTTGCTAGTGGTCAGCTTTTATTGGTATGTTAGGGTAATTCTGTATCAATTTATAGTGCTGTTCTGTAGTTTAAATGTGAGTTTCACTACCCGGATCATTACGTGATTGTCTACATGAAGTACTGTTTTGGGGTGGGAGCAATATATGCGGGATTCTAGGAAAACAGACTCCATATGTCTGTTCGATTTGCCTCAGGAGATATTTTTCAAACATTCATTTATAATTTATAGGGCAACTGATCTATCAAACGGTCGATAATTTATCACTGGTCAGTGAGTTTTTATCGACAAAACCTCCTCCTTATTAGCATGCGGTGTTTTATCGGATGTATTAAAAGAGACTGCAGATGACATATCAGGATGCAAGAAAAACAAGCCATGAACACTAATATGACTGACTTGATCATCTCGCGGTAGATGTTAAGACGGATTCCGCTCAAAGTTCGAGCAATAAGTGCAAAAATTATTTACTAAAAATCTACTCACAGCTTATTAACTTTTTGAATACTATTTAAAACCTCTCACTGTAAAAAATCGTTCAAAATTTTCTATACAAATGACAAAGAAACAATGACCTTGGCACCGAATTTTAGGTTTGACAAGTTACTCTTCAAACTAGGCTGTTCAAACAGTAAAAGAAGCGTTAAAATGAGAAGTAAACAGCGCGCTCATGGTCGTTCGAAGAAAGACCCCGGTTGCGGCTGGTCACGTGACAACCTGTAACACAAACTTTTTCACCGGGGTAGAGTCAATTTCTTTTTTGTCGATCTCAACTGAAGCGAAAGAAAACTAGAAAGGTCATCGCTAACTACACCTTTGAAATTTTCCAGTCAGGTTGTAAGCTTGACAATGGTCAGACGAAATTTATTTATATGTATATCTAGCGTATTGAAGTATCACCAGCCGGTCTATCTAGTATTATTAAAAACTGTATCATTGGATAATGCAATTCGAGAGTTTTCATTGGCTTAGCTATCGTGGGTTATGAGCCATTATACCATGCTCTGCAAATATGGTAAGCAAACGCGTGATTTTTGGGGCGTTTTTAGTTTTAGTTTAGTCCAGTTTTCTATATTTTGGGGGCGTTTTTAATAAAACAATTGCTAGTTTTCAGTGTCACGCCGTTCAAAATAGATCAAAATAAAATATCAATACCGTTCAATAGATTAAGTCTAGAATCTGGAAATAGAAAGAAGGTAGATATGCAAAGACTCAGGTCACAGCAATTTTTCTTATGGGAGATATGCAGAGAAACGCTTTCCCCAAATTTATAGAGATTTGTATGGAGACGCCATGTTGGTGCCCACCTAGAGGGCACCAACATGGCGGCCGGAAACCAGCAGAAACATCTGTCACTGAGGTTTGCTACAAAAGCGTGAATTTATTTCTCGAAGAACTCAAAAACGTAACAATAATACTTTATTCTAATACAAGAACCGTTCAGATAGCTGAATTCCCCGAAATAAGTCACTTTTTAACCAACATCACAGCTCTCTCGTCCGTCATGTTAAGGCCACGTCACGCAAAAGCTTAGAACTTCAAGCGTAGTCTATTACTAAACCAAGAACCCATTCGGAGTGAAAATTTGTGTGAATATTAGTTTTTAGATGCTCTTATACATCACGAAGGTAAAATCTCAGGGGGATCAATACGCGCTTGTTGGATATGAGATTGGTTAACTCGGCCCTACCAGGCCCTCGTTGATTATTTACCATCTCATATCCAACGCGCGCTCATGGAATAATTGTTAATTAGAAGTAAAACTGTTTCGCTGTTTCATGTTGCCTGAATTAACCTCACGGCACATTGTTCGCTAAATAAAACTATGTTTTATTAACCACTTTGCAAAATAAATTTTGTAAAATAAACCAGGGTCTTTCTTCCAACGACCAAGGGAGCCTTGGGAAGGAGGTTGCCGTACTGGTACACGCGTTATGACGTCACCGGAAGCGATCTTCACTATCTGCCGCCGTACTACAACCTACTACAGCCTAGCCATACCATATCTTGATCCCGAAAGCAGCAGAGCAGCTTAGCCTTTTTAGGCCGCGGTTCTGTGAGAATTCAGGATTTATCTTCAGGACTTAATGAAACTTTGGGAGATTAATGTGGGACTTAGCTAGAGGAACTTTGGGAACCAGAACGTATAATTTAGGCTTCAAACATTAAAAAGTATTTTAATATTTGACGCTGAATACTGTTTGGCTTAATCTTTAAACAGTGGAACAACTTAACCTATTGTTTTATGCTTCAGTTAAGAATTTTAGGACTTAGAAATTAGGCTTGAAACACTAACATTAAGGGAGCGGTCATTAACGATGGGGAGAGGGCCGGTAAATTTTGGGGGAGGGCTGTGTTTTTTTGGGCGCCCATTTGGGGTGGACCATAATTTTATGGGCCCACGTCTAGGGGAGGGTTACAATTTCTGGGCACCTTTCATTAAAACTTTGGACGATGTACATGTGCACAAATGGGTTTTTGTGCTATTGACTTTAGCATGGCAAGAGAATCTTCATAGAATCGTATACTCAAAGCTTAATTGCACAGTGAAAAAGCTCACACCCAGAACAATTTTATAAACATCACTTGATTTATTGTTATTTTAAAAAATCAATAAATTCTGGTATGCTTTAAAACTCAATCAGTCTTAAACAGTAACGGTATCAAACATACTGTTTTTTCTTTTTCAACAAATGCGACATAGTTTAGTCTTGAAACAGCATGCCAATGGCCAAACTTGCAGGACCTGGAGGGGTCGAGCAAGAGCTGTGGACTTCTCTTGAATAGAGACAGCTTTCGCTGATCCGTTATTAAATATGCACAATTTGTTCACTCTTGAAGTTGACTACAAAACAGGAATTCAATAAGTAACAACGGGGCTGTTTATTGTACGGGTTCCCTTTACTTGGTGAACCATTGGGTTTTGTAAATAGTGTATTAAAATAGTAACACTTTTTTCTTATTCCAGTGAAATAATTGTCTCAAAATAACGTTCGTAAAAAAATCAAAATTTTTTCACAGAGGAGGGTTACAATTTTTTGGGCTCACATTTTAAAGGGGGCCAAGATTTTTGGGCTGTTAACCTGAGAGGGGCTAAAATTTTTGGGCTCTAACCTTTGAAATAATACTGACCCTTCCCCCCAATAGTTAATGACCGCTCCCTAATTTAAATCTGTCTACTCTCTACTTTGCCCTACACCCATAATTACTTCAGACTTAGGACGAAGTTGCATACTTAACACTTTCCTTTCCATTTGCAGCTTCGAGAGCTGCATTGAAACCCCGTTGCTACTTGCATGTTCCTCTATTATGCCATTTACTAAGGCCTTAATTAGAGACGGCTTTATCCTTTAATCGCAGCAGCAATTGCGCGTTTCATATTTAGAGCACTGTATGGATTTTAAAATGTGTGTGCATCGATTTTACTGATTTCCAATTAGGGCGTTTAATTGACGGAGTTATTTACACTAACACTAAGAACTGAAACTATAGAGTTACACTATTTTCCTGAAAAAACGAACGGAGATGTGTAAACTTTCAGCCTGCGAAAACAGCCGTCCTTCATCGCTCCCGGCCCGAGTGGCGTTTCGCGTGAACCACTCGGGCCGGGAGCGATGAAGGACGGCTGTTTTCGCAGGCTAGTAAACTTTACACGTATACAAATTATGTATTTAGATTGATTCAGTCGAAAGTTCAACCCAGGTATGATTTTCTTAAGGTGGTGGGAAATAATTGTTTCTCTTCTAAATGATAAAATTGCTCTTTATTATACTTGAAGTTCTCCTTCATGATTTCAAAGGTAATGGTAGATTAAAAGAATTCTTTTAAGTAATATCGAAGACTTCTGAGATGGGATATACCACCTATGCGCGTTAGAGTTATGATCAGTTATCACACACGATGGCAGAGACGCGTGAGTGGTTTTCTCGCTTACTTCTAGCAACAAAAAATATATAGTAAAAGAAAACAAAGTCAACAACAGTAATTTCAGGACCATTTCTGCTAATGAAAGGGAATCCTAGGCCCTGGCGTTCTTTCTAGAGCCCAAGTCGATTTTTTTCTTCTGTCAGCCATTCCGTCTTTGGAAGTTGAAAACTATTTGTGTAAGTTACTGATTGATGGAGGCGTCCACGACAAACAAAAGAAACTACGTATATATTTACGAAACGCTGAAATTACGGCAGCAAGTAAATAACAACAAAAGCTATTACTTGTTACATGCTGTAATACGTGTACAGCAAAAGTAATATTGAAAGTTTCATTGACTGAGAATTTAATTAATTGTACAAGTATGGTATTTTATTACGTTCCAGAAGCTACAAACTCAACAACTCGTAAATGCATTGGCCCCTTGAAACGAGATGATGCGGGTATAGCCTCGCATTGGCTGATGACGAAAAAGCATGCTTAATGAACTCGTACTTTGCTACGATTGGCAAAAAGCTAGCTGAAGAACTTCAGTTCACCTCGAAGTCCAACCGCCCGTACAAACTGAACACCGTGAAGACAACGACAGAACCCCCTCCGCTTGAGGGATTCACAATTTCTCAACACTCAATTCAAACCAAAGTTAATGCGTTTAATATCAATAAGTCCACAGGACCTGACAATATTTCATCGAAGTAATTGAGAATCGCCGGCAACGCTATTGTTCCAGCACTAACGGGCCTATATCAGTTCAGCTGTGAACACAAGTCTGTATTTTCAGCGTGGAAGACCGCAAGGCTCACACCAATCTACAAAAAAAAGATGAACGAGGAAATTACCGCCCAGTCTCCCTACTCAGCTGAGGATTCCAAGCAAGATCATGGAGTCGATAGTAAATGATGCCCTTGTGAAACACGTCTTTCGAGATAATAACAATTTGGTCTCAAACAGGCAGTGGGGTTACCGACCTGAGCATTCAACGGAATACCTGATGATTCATCTCACAGAAACTTGGAGAACGGTTCTTGACTTTGGAAAATTTGCAGCTCTAGCATTCATCGATTTTAGAAAAGCTTTTGACAGGGTCCCACCGCGCTACATTAATAATGAAGCTAGAAATACATTTTGGAATCAAGGGATCAACCCTCGATTGGTTGAAGAGTTATTTGACAGGAAGAAAACAGTTCACAGTGTTAAATGGAGATAAGTCAGACCTTCTCCCAATGTCCATGGGGATACCTCAAGGATCAGTGCTCGGACCAACTCTGTTCACACATTAACAAATGATCTGTCGCCATCTGTTCGGTCGGGGTCTCTATATATGTTTGCTGATTGTACAACGGTCTTCTGCATGGGTGACACGGCAGACGAGGCGATCGCAAAGTTGAACAGGGCATCATGTTGCAGGAGATTTTCGACTGGTGTGGTGGCAACCAGTTAAGAGCGAGTTTGCCAGAGGACCAGGCAGGGGTGATACATGCCATCTCTCCAATTTGGATGAAACTTTGCCAGATTCAAGGGACTACCAAACAACTCTAAAAGACAAAGTGGGCCGGCTCTGCGATTTTTCCCTTGAGAGTTAGACCACCCCCCCTGGTTTTTTGCCTCAAATCCCAAAAATTGCTCTAAAACTAGCATCAAATTTAGACTCTGCTCATGGTTACAGAATACAATAAATTTTATTGCCATTTCACACAAAAAAAGATCAGACCTATCTTAGTTTACAACATGAGTTTCAAGTGATTTGAAGCGACTGGTGGCAATCAAGAATTGTCATTGCATACCTATGTCACTCACGATTTAGCAATGAGGCAAAATAGCTAGATTTCTGACTCAAATATCGCTTAAGTCCAACTTTCATTTGGAAAACTAATTTCAGCAAGGTTAAGAACCACTCTTGGGCTGATGAAATCACGAATAAAATTTTTGGCATCTGTTATTTTTTGGTGACAATGGTTGTCCAATCAACGTGACAAAAGACCAGTTTTAACAAAGAAAGAAGGGAGAAATCTAAGGAAATTACATCTTATAGAATCAATCTATTAACGTTATTTCGACGTTCATGACATTGACAGTGCCTTTGAATATTATTTATGGCTGTTGAAGGTAAGTGAACGCAAAATTCCTCGCAATAATCTTTAAAATGACAGTGCGTCACGAGCATAACACCTGAAATCTACTCGTATGATCGAAACATGGGAATGAACTGCCGTGATATTTAGATTCTAAAGCATTGAGGTGTTAGATGCGAGTTTTACTGGGCATATCTTGTTGTCTACATTGCTCTTAAAACCCTGCTTAACTCATTGTCTTCTTCGGGTTTTTTTTATAGTAAATTGATCATGTAAATTTAAAAAATTATATCTCTGCTGTTATTTACAGTTCCATATCAAGCTATACCTCATTGGAAAGGGCAAAAATTAAACTTTCAGAAAAAAAATATTTCGGTCTCAGGGAAACCATAATATTCTGCACAAAAAAAAATAAACAAGGCATATTTCTAGATAATTATTTTTAAAAAAATTTAATAGTGTAATTTTGCCAGAAAAGTTGTATATTTTATGTAATACAGTACAAATAAGTTTTTTTCTTCAATATCTAAGTAAAACAGCCGGAATATCGGTCGAAAATATGAAGCGACAAACAATTTTCTACAAATTTATTTTGTGACCCTATCAGATTATGCAAATGAGGAAAGAGCTAATTAGCATAGCGAAACTAGACACTTTAGCGTCACTTTGTGGCCCGATATTTACCTTCGAAAGACGCTTTATGTTTTAGTTTCTCGGTGAAATATCGAGTTAAAAACAAGCAAACATAAATTCACTGATGTAAGTCATGAAAATAAGCAAGGCTTTGAAGGCAAAAAGCTCCGCGGGACGGATTTCACTGCGTTTCAACAGAATTTGTGCCAGACTATGGTCTACTAGGCGAATTTGAAGCAAAGATTCTTACTGTTTTATTACCTCTATTTTCGCGTTTATTTCGCTTGTTATCCTCCAGAATCCTCTAAAATAATTTGCTTGACTTGTATTTGGTCGAAATTCGTCGATAATAGCTTTCATTCTTCGCAAAAGCCGCGACAAAATTCTTCCCGACGGAAGCGCCATTTTCACTAGATTTGAAAAAATCGTTGCGTGAAGCTCAAAACTCCCCAGGGCCTGGAACTTGGCACATAATTGGCTAAATCTATTGACTTCCTGTGGGCCAAATTTGGAGGCAATCGGAAGTAACACAATTTTTTGCGAGTGTTGGTCGCGTCATCGACCAAAAGTGGTCGAAATGTTCACGTTCGGAAGAGAATGAGTTCATCGCAGGTCACACACACACTTGACCTTGCAGTTAGCTATTAACTTACTTCATACTCGGCATACAAACTCATCAATTCCTGAGTCACGGTCGTCGCTGAAATTATTGTTTGCCCTCACAGACCAGCTCTTGAAGTCACGCATTGAATATCTGTTCCCCTCTTTAGGTTAAAAGAAGTTGAATTACTGATTTGCCGCATCAGGCATGCAAATTCCCAATTTTCAGATAACATCATCAATGCGTGGGAACAAGAGCCGAAGATCTTGGTCAGCGGTAGATAAATCTGACTTGCTAGTTGATATATTTAGCTGTAAATGGAAATTTTGTTGTAAATATGTTACGAAAACTGTCTTACTTGCAGTTCAGTGTATCTGCATTCACTTGATCGCAGGTTATATTATAGAAATCGAATTAATTGCGTGTGCGTGACACTTGAACTAGTCACGTGATATAGCTTAGAGCACAAGCGGGGGTTTCCCTTATTAATACATCTCTATTTATAGATGTTCACACTTGGGAACGTTAAGCATGGCTTCGCTCTTTTGTTCGTTTGTAACATTTTCGAAAGAAAAATGTAATATATCTCCACGTTACCCAGAGGTTGCGGAATATTTTTCCTTGACCTCTTGTAAAAGAGACATCCGGTCGCATCTGAGGACAGTCAAAGTCTCACAGACTAGTATCCTCACAGAAAAGGATTTGATTCTCGCTCGTACTGGTCAGTTTAATGAAGATGGTACCAACATGACAATATGTCCGAGGCACCGAGCTGAACATGGCACGTTTTGGCGACCGAGTAGAAAATGTGCGCACCCTCTTCATGGAAATAGCAAGGGCAAGCCAGAGAGGGGAGCGTCACTGGACACGAGTAAAGAAATCATGGCAAAGTGGAACACGCTCGTTCCAGTCGGAGCAGGTAAGGGAGGAAAATATAGTTGTCTACCGCATTTTAAAATTTCATAACGCCCCCTTGGTTCAAACATAAAGTCGGGATCCTAGTGAGGAGGGGATGGGGGAAGGAAGTAAACGACAGAGTTTTACAGGGGAGGTCTGGATGATGATTTATAAAAAGAAACGGTTTGAACTTCTGGCTTAGCTTCCTATGCAGACAAGTAATCTTCCTTTCCTAACAACGGGGAGAAGGAAGAATGTCTGCGTAGGATACGCCCGATATCAAACCTGAAACCCCCTTAACTAGTCCACAGTAGAGTGCTACTCAGGTGTCGCTCGATGGCATCCAAGTTTGTGAAATCTGAGATCAGGAATCACACCGATGGGATCATGGATCAAAGCCGAAATCTAGGATAAAACAGTTTTTTTATCTGGTTCAGGAGTAGTCTCCAACTTGCAGACCTTGTTACGACGCCCCTAAATTATGGAAATGAACAGATGTGCAATGTTGGTTGCTCTGGGTGATATATGTTCGGCCCAAAAGGGTCTATTACTCAAGGGATGCAATTATTTCTCAATATCCCTATATCAGGGGGCTATCTAAAACCACAAAGAGGGCAACGAACAAGGCTATCTCTGACAAGAACCATGGGAACTCAAATCGTAACGCAAATACATTAAAAGGTGAAAACCAAGTCGTCATAAGCAAATGCATTATGAGATAGCCACCGTGCATTTTCCAAACTTCGCGTATGTGGTATTTACTTAGTGCTTGACTGTTTACAGGAATTTGCAAACTTTGTAGACGTAATCACCTTGCCGCTGTTGGTGTAGCAAACCCAGTTGAAGATTCCTTCACAGTGCAATGTGACGAGCCAGCTACAGCGCAATCTGATGAGCCAGCTGCAGCGCAATCTGAAGAGCCAGCTACAACGCAATCTGAAGAGCCAGCTGTAACGCAATGTGAAGAGTTAACTACAGAGTTAGCCCCAGAACCTATACCCGAGTTCCTCCCATCACAACCACACGCATCGAGCGATTCTGAAAGTCAGCTAGAGGTATGTTTCGTGTTGCTATTTTGTCGATAAGAGCTTAAAAATACAATCCAAAAGAGACCGGACTCTTGGCTTAAGCGCGAGCTCCAAATCAAAATGTTGAACACTTTTGTATCTTATCTTGGGGAAATCTATCGTTTTGGTAAAAAATAGCTTTCTCGGCAACACTAAGACCCATTTAGCATCATAACAGCCGAAAACTGATTTAAGGGTTAAAAGCGGCATTTTTGGGGAGAAAATTTGGTAGTCAGAGTGTTAAAGTACTTCATCTACTTCCGCAATGAACAGTTACCCGAAGCACATTCACTAAGGTACTACAAATAAGAGCACTGACATTCCGTTCTTAGTGTGCAGCTAGAGCCTAATTAGTCTGGTTGTCAGAAATTTCCAAGGGAAGCGAAACTCGTAAGCCAATTTTAGTGAGTTTAAGGGCGCGAGCTGGGGTGTGGACACTAGCTAAATGCCGGAATCGTTAGGAAAAAAACGAAAAACAAATATAACCTCTGGTAGCTATGAAGATATTCTACAACGAAGTGTAGTGTTCCTTTCTTTTTAAACGTAAGGTGGCCATTTATAAAATAAGAAAAGATCCGTCGCCATTTTTAGATTCATAGTCTAAACTAACCGTAACCCTGAGGTTCTTAACATTAGAGAAGAGTCACTGCTAATAAGCTTTTCCATGAAGAATCATTTTCCCCTTTGTCGGAGGAGGGCTTGAAGCAGTCTTTATTTAGTAGTCTGACCGCTAACACTGTCTGTTGAAATTTTTTTAATTTCAGCTAGAAACCAAATCCTGTAAGGGGTTGCCCTTGCATAAAGGTGGAACCCTACTAAGTGATGATGGTTCAGACGTTTTTTCTTCTGGCTCTCAAGAATCCTTAACGGCCGTCGAAACATCGATGGAATGGCAGGCAACGCCACAGGTACAAATGAAACTTCGTTCTCTCAACAATTTTCTAAGACAAGCTGATGGCAGGATGAGCCCAGTACGATCTCAGCTCAGCACAAACGCGGAAGGTGTCTCATCATCCACTACACGCTATTACAAACGAAAAGGAATGCAAGTTGTTGAGGCGAGTCTGGATGCTATAGCCCCGGGGCAGTCCAAATGGCTTCTGCAGAAAGTGCTAGAGGCGTACAGCCATTCCACCGACTCGGACGTGAACCCCCCTCGGTGTTGTACGCTTTTTTTTTGCTCGGACCAATGAGCCTCTCGGTTAGTTGTCATTGTATACGCTGCACCAATCACAGGCGCGAACATTCACAAGAAATTGAAAGTCACACATTGATTGGTTTATTTCCGAGAAAGGAATGTATGTCGGTTTGAAGCAGCCGCGTGGGGACGGGGAGCGTTACGTGACTCCGGCCTGAGCGGCTGCGAAGGAGACTACGCTCTTTCATGCAAGGCCACAGCAACGAGAATAGCAAAAATGTAATGATCTTGAATGACATAACTTGCGCCCAAAACTGAACCCAGGTCTGTCAATCTATTGGACAAGCAGTAAGTGAAATCTTTATTTTTGTTTTTTTGTTTTTTTTAATTTTATTTGGCTGGAGGTCCGTAGAGGGGTCCGTAGGGGTAGTCCGTGGACCGGTCCGTAGGTAGTCCACGGACCCGGTTGGTAGTGGGGGTCCGTGGATCGGGGGTCAGTGTTTTGACTGTTTTCGGGTTACCCGGTTGAGAGTAGTCTCCTTCGCAGCCGAAATTAGGGTCGTCACGCAACAATCCCCGCACGTTAGTGGAAAAGATCGATGCGTGACGACCCTAATAATGGCTGCGAAGGAGACTACAATCTTGGACAGTATAAAATGGAACAATTATCCCCCATCCCCCCCAAAGCAATGATGAAGGCGCGAAGGAGCAAGACACGCGCCATTTTGGCATCATTGAAATGGGGGGAGGGGTGGTCCAGATGTTCCATTTATTTTGTCCAAGATTGTAGGTTGAGAGGGACCCTGCGGCCGGGTTGTTCGAAAGCCGGTTAACGTTAACCCAGGGTTAAACGTCAACAGCAGCATCATTTTTTCTTGTTTAAAAATGTTTTTCACCTCTAACGTTTGGTGTAGTTTGAGATACTGCAGGGCAAACAATATAAACAGAACACCTCCGTTAGGGTGGGGTCCAGATCCCGCGCTCGCTCGAATTGTTCGACGACTCTGGAACAAAGACCACCAGATTGCAAAGACCCAGCTTTGGGTGGCTTTTGGTTCTTTTCAGAGGGTTGACGTTGTGCAGATTGGTTCGAGAACAGAAAAGATGTTTCCTTCACATCTGTCTGTTAATGATCTGGGGGTTTTTGCGGTGGTGATGGTGTTTGGGCTGATTGTCGTACTACTGTTCATGTTTGACTTCGTAAGTACCGTAAGCTTGGTTAAAAAATTTCGTGTTTTTATTCGGGACGGTGTACAATGCGTGCTTGTAAGAATCATCTTGTTTGGGGAAAACCGCGTTTTCATACCCTCTAATTAACACATGAGATTTGCAAAACTGGTTTTCGTTTTAGCCCTCGTCATTTGATCGCCTTACGTTATTCAGGAATAAGAATATTTGAATGATTCACATGCATTTTGAACGTGGGGTTCATATTACATGTAATGTAATTAACAACTATCATCATAAGTTTAAAAACGTCGCGTGGTCGACTCAGTTAAGTTTTCAACAGTTGTCTTTTATATTTGCACATCCCCAAGAATAGGACTGGATGCTTTCAACAGACTCACAATGATCTCAAATGCCAGCAGCCCTCTGAAGCCTTGGTGTAGTTTTGTCTTTTCCGCAAGAGATCGGTATTCAAACGTGTCGCCTTGATATTCCGATTCCGAGGGAGTGGGGGGGGGCATTAGGACTGGCTTATTGGGTAGAACATTTTTAAACTTCCGAAGGCAAGGGGATTTAAAATGTTAACGCTGTCTGTGGTAGGGAATCTGGAATCATGCAATAACAGAGTGATATTCTTCATTATTAAAAACTGGATCGTTGGATAATGCAATTCGAGAGTTTTCATTGGCCTAGCCATCATGGTCTATGAGCCATTATACCATGCTCTATGAATATGGTAAGCAAACGCGTGATTTGGGGGCTTTTTTATCCCGGGGGGGGGGGGGTACTCCCAAAAAAAATGGGTAGGGGTGTGCGGCCCGCTTCCCAAAACCTTTACCCTATTTATGAGTAGCCTGCAGGCTAATTCACGACCAAAATCTGCGATTTTCCCTGCCCTAATTATGAGCTATTAATGACCTAACCAAAAATTTGATACCCTATTTATGACTAGATAACCTATTAGTTACCAAAATGGCGGCAAAATGGCTAAAATCGATACCCTATTTATGAGCAAAACGGCTGAAAAACCCTACCCTTTGGGGCCGCACATACCTATATAGCGCATATTAGGGAGTACCCCCCTCTCCCCCGGGGTTTTTATTCCTTGTTTAGTCTATTTTTCTATATTTTGGAGGCGTTTTTAATAAAACAATTATTCCATTTGTGCTTGTTGGATATGAGATTGGTTATAGCCAACGAGGCCCGTAGCTATTTACCAACTCATACCCGACGCATGCTCATGGAGTAATTGTTAAATTAGCATATTTTGTGTGGAAGTATTTTTTTATTAGAATTATATATACCGATGTAGAATTATTTTATTAGAATTTTAAATTATAGGGATTGTTAGAACTGTAGAATTAACTTATTATTATGGTACATATTTCTGTTTGTACACAGGTAATCATACAGTTTCAAGTTCTATTTGGAATTAATTTGCATGAGTGAGTTTTTCAAAGATCTGAAATTGCACGATCTGCTTCAGCAAGTGCAATTTCAGCAAACCAAAATCCAGAATTACAATGTGTAATTTGTAATAGTTTTACACTCTTTGCACAGGTGTTGCAGTTAATCTGCACTGCTCTCATCTAATCAGAATCAAGTAATTTTTTCATGTATATTATTATTAGTGTAGACGCAACTCCACAAGCAAACCTATTGCTTAAACTAAATCATTTGAAAATAAAGGATTGTCATTGTTATTAACCACGAGAGCATGCATTTGTGACTTATTGGTATTCATATTGCCAGCAGCTGATTTATTCATTTAAAATCAAATCATTTTTTCTTCATTTTTTGTAGAGGGGTGCATCAAAAGGACCAACAATCCCAGGAGAACAGCCTTCAGATCCAGAGTAAGTGAGGCTATGTTACACAGCTTGGTGACTTTTCAGGGTTAGCATTCGCGTTCTGATTTCCACGGTGCAAAGAAATGCTACCCTTCCTCGAGTTGAAACTTTAATTTGCCTCTGTCTAATAATTTATCGCTAAGATGATCTATTGTGTTAGTTTTGACCAAAAAATTGAGAACTTTGCTTGCCTATATTAGCCCCCTCCTTCTAAACTTATAGAAGCCCGTACGATACAGAAGACGTTAAAACAGCGCTGCTTTAGCGACTTATTAGCGCTGCAACGAGCGCTGCAGAAAGGTTGCACGAACGCTGTTTTCCGTTCGCTGCAGCAGTGCATTTTTGTGACTGCGTGAACGCTGCGGTAGCGACACTGAGAGCTGCAGGAGCGCTGCCGTAAAGATGCAAAAAAATAGCCACACGAGGCCATACGGTCGATAAACAGCTTTTGTGCAGCGCTGTGCAGCGTTAGTGAAGCGCTGCCAAGAACAGTTGTACAAAAAAAAGAAATGCAGACTTCAACAATACAATAATCATGAGACATGGTAAAGGAGTTGACAAGAGGCCTTATAGTAGCGGAGTAAAAACCACAAGAAATACAAAATGCAACTGATACTTTATTAGTATTCACGCGTACACGTTACAAAAGCAGGTGACATATAAAAAATCTACGACAGTCTCGCTTTGTAAATATTCAGCAATCACGGTCACTCATCTAAATGTAAGAACATCCATTAACATGCCGACATTGAAGTTTATCTTTTTTTAAAATAAAGAGAATAAGAGCGATTGTTCTACATAAAGTTTGCACGGACAGCAGCCAAATGATGTTTTGATTCGTTGCAACAGCCTAACATCGCTCACCTTGACGTTTTGTCCATGATCCACGATCTGCCGTCACTGTTTTCATGAAAGAAATCAACCCAATTTTACCTTGGTCGTCGTTAAATTTACAATGGACTAAGGAACGTACATCATCGTGAACGTTTGAATCTTGTAAATACATGCGTACCCCAGCTCAGATTCTTGTATCTGTGTTGCTTGCTCTGGTTCGATTCGTCGGTACTTCGCGTAGAATTCACTGAACAGTGCCGTTGTTTACAAATACCTTTCAGCTGTTCCATCCAAAAACATCAACAGAACTTCCACCTCGAAACACTGAACTAGATGCTAAACACTTAAATGTATGAATGTTTGCGCCTTTCATTCAACGGTCGCAAATGTTTGTCTAGCGATGTAATGTGATCTGATGCAAAAGTGCCGACCAATTAGATTACAGCCTAGAATGTCTCCAGGGAATTAGCGATAACATTCCCACACTCGCCAGTCACGGAATAAAATTTATTGAAATCTTTATTCCAAAAGCATAGAATTTGGAGGTTTATTCAATAAGTGATCTTCCCTGCGTACAAGCTTACTCACATTTCTTAGAGGTACAGTCAAAGTTTTCTCGTTATGAAAGCCGTAATCTGTGGCAAAAGGCTTTTCTGGCGGTTCAGGTTATGAGCGCTCAAGAACGTTGTGCTATCAGATCCAGCGTAGCTGAATTGTAGCGTTACTGCAGCTATTGAAAGTCGGCAACTGCGCTGCAAAACTGCTGCCGAGAGCTTCAAAGGCAGCACCAGCGCTTTTGCATCCCGCTGCAACTTGGATTAAGCTGTTGTTTGGCTTCTAAAATGCTGCTAAACAGCTGTAATTTAGCTGTACAGCTATGTTGTGGCGCCGTACGGCGCTGCAAGTTTCGTACGGGTTTGCTCTCCAGGGTTTTAATTTTGAAGATCTTTAAGTCCTTATTTGGTATCTGCAGCGTTGTGCAGCGATAATGCAGCCTCAAGCGTCGCTTGTATTCAGGTTGTCATATGGAGTGGTTTCAATGTTTATATCTAAGTCTCATTGCAGCTTTTAAGCAGCGGCCCGCAGCGCTGCTTTACCGCTGCTTTACCGTGGCAAAATTTTGCAGCGCTTTCGCAGCTGGGAA